AGCGCTGGTGGGTGTCCTTCCTAGAGTACACCCAGAGAGGAGAACGCTGAGCGCTGGTGGGTGTCCTTCTTATGGTATACCCAGTTACTCCTCCTTCCTATCTGCATATCTTCACTGTGATTCTACCAGACCCCCAAGTCACCCGAAAGACATTAGAGGAGCACTAACCCGGGATCAGGAGACTAATGGTCCTAACCCCCTGGGTACCTGGGCTGGCACTCCTATTGCCAGGCCTCAGCTGCCTCCTCAGTGAAGGGAGAAGGCTAGAAAGAGGATGGCTACCCATCTTCCCAGACCTCCTTCAGTTAGCTTAGCTTATATGTTCACTATGGACAAGCACCAAACTTGAGTTCCTTGTCTCAGCTTTCTCTTTGCTAAGACCAAATACCCGGCACCCAACGTTAAAGGAGGAAGGGTTTAGCTCAGAGTTTGTAGACATCTCAGTTTATCATCGTCTGGCTCCAAGGCAGGGCCGCATGGCAGAGGACATCAAGGGAGAAATAGTTCATGGTGGGCAGAAGGCAGCAAAATAAGCAAGGGACAAGGAAAAAGCCTTTCTGTCCCACATATTGTATCCAGGCTACAGGGCTTAGGGTGGTGCTAAACCAATCACCGAACTGCTAATCACCTACCATCAGGCCTAGCACTGCACCATGAATCAATCACACACTCTAGGTTCGGTCATCTTTGGAAAAGCCCCACCTATGACTGCACGAGGCTGAGAGTGAGCCATTACACTCTCAGTCCTGAAACAGCCTCAAGCCGCTGGGCTACAGATGTGCAGGAAGAAAGGGTAGATGCAAAAGCGAGGAAAGAGTGGGCTGATGCAAACCCATCTGCACTGAATCAGGAGTTCCGGGTTCTGATCCTGGGTCCCTTCCTCCCCGACTGGCTGCGTGGGCTTTTAGGATTCAAGACTTTTAGGATTCGCAACTGTAACAGGAGGCTATTATGAAAGACGAATGATTCTCATCTGGGACTCCCAGGAAGTCTTACATCCCTGAGTGGGCTCCAGAGCATACACAGATCCTCTCAAAATGTGTAAAAATGTGTGTATGGCACAAGCCTGTTTCTACAGAAACCTCAATCACCTTCGCAGAGGGACTGTGGTTCAAAACCTGCTGTAAGCACTGGAATGCATGGACGCTATTATCCCTTCTAGCACTAACATTGAGCAGCTCAAATAACACTGAAACAGGCGAACAAGTTGAAACTTGGGGATAAGACAAACGGAATCTACTCAGCTGAAGCTGATAACAGGTGTAAGATCAGCCATGCTGCCGACCAAGGGTCTGGCCCTTGGACACTGGGTACTGTGTAGGGGCTGGGTGCTCCTGCAGCTGGCTGGGCCTCTGAACTATCAATCACTAATGTTCTATCAGGGACCAGCAAGCCAGCTTGTTCCCTTGCTTCAGTGTATTTAGGGTCTTCAAGAGCAGAAGAGAGAGAAGACATGAAGTTGTGTGTTGTGAAGGGTTGGAGAACACACTGTTCTGCTCTGAGATGCATAGACACTCACTCTCGGCCACCATGTGGACTTGACCATGTTGGAATCAAGGATCAGAGGCATCTACCTGTGGAAGGAGGCACTCTCCTCGGCCTGTCTTGATCAAAAAGGGTTTGCAAGACCACTGCTGCATGCAGGCTGAATTTCCAGCCTGTGAGAAGCATAAGCAGGACCTTGCGTCTGGTCTTTGTGGCACAGGTCTGCCTCAGTGTCTGGACACAAGAGCTTTTCCATCTGGGGAAAGACGACACCTTCCAAACTCCAGTCTTGTGCTACAGCATTTATTTTCTGGAGCCACCCACCATTCCACTGAGTCTAGGACCCCCAAGGAGGCCTCTGTGCCCAAGGTCTGAAGGTCGCATGACGGCATCCCAGCCAGTAGGCAGGAAGGAGAGGCAGAAGAGCCAGCCGAGTGAGGAAAGGGACTCCGCATGAGTAAGACACTCCACAGTCAGACCAGCGGGACGGGGCTGCAGACAGACTCATCTCTGAAGAAGAGCAGACTCGCGCTTGAGTTCTAACTCTGCTTCTTCACCACTGCCTGCTTTGAGTTAGGTGAGCACTTAATTTACTCCAGCCTTAGCTCTTCACCTGCCAAGTGTGACAAGAATAACTTCTGCCCCAGACATTCACTGTGGACCTGCGTGAAGGAGGCAGGACAGGTGAAGCACTCAGCGCCAGTCCCGGACCTGAGGAGCCCTTTCCACTGCCATTCCCAGCTGCTGCTGCTGCTGCTGCTGCCACCCCTGCTACTGTTATCACCACTGTCACTGCTGTTATCTGTGAGACACCACGGTGTGCACTTGCAACCCCATCTCCCTTAGAAGGTGAAGCAGGAAGGTTGCAAATTAAAAATTTGTCTGTCTCAAATTAAAAATCTTAAAAAGGGCCAGAGATATAGCTCCCTGGGTTCAATTCTCAGTATCAAAAAATGACCAACAGTACATCTGAAGTTCCCAGCATATGCACCCGGTGCTCTATAACTGATTCCATGAGGGTTTTCTTTTCCCCCCTAACTCCTGCTACGCAGCAGGGTGCTCAGGGCCACTGCCCCCGCCTCTTACCTTCCTTTGGTTGGTGGGATTGACATAGAGGTAACTGAGGACAGTCTTCAAGCCTACTTTGTCATTCAGCTTTTGATAGGTGGTGCCGTAATCTGTTGACCTGCAGTGAAAAGAAAGACAAAAAAAAAAAAGAAAAAGAAAAAGGGAGAGATTGTTTTTATCAAGCAGGGGTGATGATTAAGGGGAGTCACACTCCCCAGTCCTGCACCTTTGTTCCCAAATCACACGAGTGCTTAAAAGTGTGCTTCGGAGATAAAAAGCCCCAGTAACTAGAGAGGAGCGATCAGGCTGCTGCCTCTGCTTCAGCCCCACTTGTTCCTCTTCGCACACGTGCTTGGCCTTTCTCAGAGAACTACTTCTGTGCCCTTGTGAAGCTGCGTGACGACCGAGCTGCTGCAGACTGCCCGCCTCCCGTGGGGCGCAGGGGTGTGAATGGGGAGGTTCCCCCTACTGGGCCTCTGTCCAGGCGCCTCAGGTGGAGGACAATGACAGGACACCAGAGCCTTCCTGGACTTCCACCAACATGGTATCCCTGTCCTTAAACCTGAAACAAGGGCAAGGGGACTCTCAACAGCACAGGAAGTGCCCAGGAACTGTGGGGTTCAATGGTCAAAGAAGAGCCTTCCAGACAGAGGGTCTGAGGCTCTACACAGGGGCAGTGTAGGCCTGGCTGCAAGGCCAGAGGCGGGATGGCTGCTGGTGGCTCACCTTGCAGTTCTCCTCCTAGATGCCTGCTCCTCTGAGCGTAGTTCCCACACACTGACCTCAGTTAAAGCTTAGAGCACAAAGCAGGCCACCCCATGGCTCCTTCCTCTCCACCCTGCCCTTCTACAGTGGCAGAGGAACAGAAGGTTCCCAAGAGTGGTTTGAGAGTAGCGGGGTCACCACACCCCCCGGAGCCACTCCCATACCAGTCTTCCGGGTTCTGCCACCTTCCTCTGTCTCCTTCCTTGGCTACAGCTGGGTGGGCCACTCCTCCAACTCAGACCCAGGGAGCGCACGGTGACCAGTGCGTCTTCCCCAGAGTCAGCAGACCTCGCTCTGGCCTTCTGTCTTGATCTCAGTCCTCAGCTCTAACTCTGTGCCTGGCTTTGATATTGTAACCAAAACCAGCTGCTGCTGCCTTTACTCTTTTAGCCCTTATCTATCTGGTCCTGCCTTGGCCCGGAGCTTAGCTCAGAAAGGCCAGCAGCACAAATGTGCAATGACCTCGAAGAGCTTCCCCAGGCCTAGTCAACCTGGCACACTCCCTGCCTTCCAGCTCTGCAGAACAGTCCCCCTCAGTGTCTGTCCATGTTAAGGCTGCACTCATGAGCCTTTTCTGCACACTGCTCCCCACTCATGCGCACAAGAATGTGCTGCCCCTCCGCCCCCTGCACCGTATGTGTTTCTTTTTATCTAATCTGTGAAGGAGCCTTGATTATCTCATCTTCTGTCCCCTCATGCACAAGGCAGACTGAAGGGCAAAGCTCAGGGAACATCAACTTTGGGTCCAAAACAATCCCTGTGACATCCCTAGACCTGCAGCTCTCTGACTGCAGGACCATGTGCAAGTTACTTAACCTGCTGAAGCTGCATACTGCTTATATGAAAAATGGGGCTAATTTAATCTCACAAGCATTTGGGAGCATGCAAAAATTTACCCTACTAGGAGGATGCAGTGAACTGAAATGCCAAAAGAGAAGAAAAAGGTGCAGAAGAGCCCCTTACACATTACATGCATTCAGCACTTTACGAAGCATGGGTCAGTATTCCAAATCCCTCCTACGCTTCTGGCCAGATGGGTGTCAGGCGTGCTGACTGTAAGAGTCCCCAAGCAGGCTGGCTTCTCACAGAGGTCCTGCCCACCCAAACACAGAGCTCTAGCAGCCCCACCCAACATTTCTCTTTGTCCTTGTCACTCACAACCAGCACAGCCTCCAAGTCTTCCTGATTCTGTCTCCTAAGTAACACAGATCCCCAAGCCCTTCCCACTTCCAGGCCGCTGTGCGGCTCACACGGTGACACCCAACGCTCTCGGATGCTCTTCTCCCTCCTTCCCCCACCCCCCATGCTCTTGTCAGCTTATAGCTCATTCAGCAGGACCTGGCCACCTCACTCTGAGGCCTGTGATCACCCACTGCTGGCAGCCAAGCGCCGTTTTCCAAGCATGGTCTTGTACGGTCTCGCTCCAGTCTCCCGCACAGGACCCCCCTCCAGCCACTTGCTCTTCTGCTGCTGTCTCCTGAGCCTCGCTAAACTTCCCTAAAGGGACCCTGCGGTTCCACCGCCCTCCACTTCCTTGTACACCAGCCCAGTATCCAAGTCAGCACCCTTTCTTCTTCATGGTAAACTTCCCTCTGACGTTCAATTCCTAACTCTAAAGCCATCCTTCTTCCAACTTTGTTACAAGGACACCCATCACCGTTCCCAACTGTGTTTTCATTGCCACCTTTGTGAAGGTGCCATCAGACGCTGTCCTGTCTTCCATCAATACTGTCTTTATTGTGGGCTCTTCTCCTTGACTGATACTCCTGATGAGCAAGCAGCATTGCCTACCACAGTGGAAGTGCCTTGTGTCATGCCTGATCAAAAGGAAGCTCAGACACATGGTACTTTGGGTCCTGAACTCAGCTCTCACCACAACTCTGGTTGCAAACTGAACTGGACAACAACCAAATCCAATTTCCCCCTGAGGCCAATATTGAACCCAATAGTCAAATTTAATGTGGTTCTCATCCAACTCGGATTGCGACCAGTATCATGAGAAACATCAAGTCTGTGGACCATTATAGTGTTCTCTCACTCTGCCTTGATTTAGGAGAGGGAATGAATGTGTGAAATACAAGTTAGTTTAAACATGCTCCAAAGTTCTGAACTAATTGCTATGGGTCAGTGATAACTCAACACACAGCCATTTCTAGAAACCAAGTAGAGCACAGCGGTTACTGCTGACCACACATTTTGCATCTGGTGCCTTGAAGGGTCTGTAATCCCTCGCGCTAAGATGAAGATGGAATGGCCAGCTGACGCACCACACTGAGCAACTGTGCTCTGGAGCAGCGCAGGAGACACACCATGACCTCTAGAGCGGCAGCACACGCTCTTATTAACTCACAGGTACTGGACAGAATCGGTGACCGGGCTCTGCACGCCATGTAGCATAGACACAGCATGGTGTGAGAGAGGAACACCGAGTTCAAGTGTGGCAATCCAAACGCTAGTACCGACACGTTCCATGTGTCACCCAGGACAGCTGTTTTACTAAGCCTGTGAAAGGAAAACATTATTCTGGCTCCTATTAAAATGTTAAGCCAGACTTTGTTCAAAACAGCTACAGTAAGTACAAATGCTACTGAAATTGAGTCCGCAGTAGGAGAGAGAGGTTTGGCTTAACTCCAAATACAAAGAAAAGCAGGAATTCACAACCAGGAGCAGGGTAGGGGTCAGTGGATGGGAAGTTCCTGAGGGGCTGGGGTAACTCTTCGCTAGACTCACCTAATAGAATTTCTGCAGAATGCTGTCTAGGGTGCTCAGCTACTACGTGGGGGACAGTGGAGAACGAAGACTTTGACCACATAGCAAAGCTAAGGGATTCAGGTTGAACTGTTAGTATTTTTGCTAAGCTCAGGCTCTTGGGAATATGCCCCAGGTTACAGCCTGGTTAAAAAGAGCTCAGAAGAGACTGAGCAAAATTTGGTGAGAAAGAGAAGCCTTGTCAAGTCCCACGTGCAGCACGAAATGCTCGACTCAGATCGCGGGCAGGCCCCGTCCAGACCCGGTGCTTTCATGGCTCCCTAACACAGTGCTCTGCTGTTTCCCAACTACTGACTCTTCCCTACCACCTATTGCAACACCACTGTGTGAGCTGAGTCCTCAGGGCTGCCTGTGTGACCGGAGTCAAATCCAAGTAGCGCCCACCAAGGGCAGGGTGCCTAGCACCACACGCAGTCTCTGCACAAGCCAGCTTAGCCTTGCCTTTGCTCTTCTCCAAAGTGGCCACTGAGAGCAGGGACTTCCCGGGAAAGGGCGTGCACCCCCTCTGGACCTGCAGCAGCTGCTCATCCAGTCTGACACCAAAGACAGCTCCAGGAGCCAGGAGGCCTGCGGAATCCCAGGCGCCCTCACCTGTCCTGCCAGCACAGGCCCTGCCCATGGCCCTGACTGCAGCATTCGTGGGCTAACTCGGCCTGAGCAGAGGGGCAGACCACAGAGAGGTCTCAGCTCACAGCCAAAGACAGCTGAGCCCGGGAACTTGCTCCAACAACAAGGAGAACCGTCTTAGAGCTGCAGACGTGCATCAGTGCGGAGGTCACTGAACGGAAATGGGTTCGACTCCGTGTGGGTAAACCCAGCCTCCCACATATTGACAATGGTTTTATAAGACAGAAGTGCTCTGCACCTGACGCGTACTGAGCACGCGCCACAGGACAGCGCTCTGCCACTCTGCAGTTGCACAGGCACGCAGGCAGCCTGGACAGCAGCGCCTGAGCCGTGTGCAGCCTGTGCCCGCACTGCTCCCGCTCCACCACACTAGTGTGCATGGGGACGTGAGTACACGGTGTGGCTCGCTGCAGTGGACACATGCTGTGTGTGGCTTCCTATGCATTCGTGAAAAATAGTGTCTCCGGGGAGGCCCCTCCTGGTGCAGTCACTGGGACATGCTCTCGCTATGCGGAACTTCTACCTTGCTGGATGTTGACATTTTGTCCAAGACGGCTCAGTCACTCACCCCACCACAGAGAAGGGGGCCCTTTCTTTCTCACTTCCCAGAGGTACCTGGGCTACCCTAGGGGTGGATACTCACTCCAGGGCTGAGCCCTGTCCCCCACCCTAGACCTTTGCCCTCATCCTGACCAGTGTGCTGCGGGCCAGGCCTGCACCACCTAGCTACTCTCTGAGGACAATGATACCAATGACCATCTCAGCAGAGCAAGTGAGAAAGCACCATAGTGTTCACTCAGCACACACCATGTGGGCCTCACGTGACCTTCCGGATTCGGGGAGCTGGTGGCCATCCACAGATGGGCTGCTGTTTTAAAAGTGAAAGAGCAGAAAAGTAGGTGCTACTGAGGCAGAAGTGCCAGCCTCCCAGGGGAGCTGAGCACAGCCCAGTCCCCA